TTTTGCAGAGTCAAAGTAGATAAAGAGGTGTACGATCAGGGTCACAGAAAGTTTTCGTCGAAGCATAAGCTCAGGCAATGTAGATAAGTTTTGACAAATCATCATGTACAACAAATTGGAAGAAAGACGGTGTGAACTTACTCTGACCAGATGGACACTCTCCCGTCTCGCTCGAGTGAGCAAAGACGTAGATGGGATAAGGTGACGCGACGTCCTTTACGGACTCCGCAGGCATCGCGATGACGGCTACAGCAGGCGTCGGCGCGCCTTCAACGGCGGCTTGGAACAGCGATGAGAGAGGCGAGTCGATGACGGCTGTCAATCTGCTTACGCGCTCCGCATGTGACGGCACATCCTCAGCACCGCGGACCAGCGCACGGGTTTTCACCGTGACATCGCTGGTCAGATCAACCTCAAACGTTGCGCCGTCTTCCTGGGCTTCCAGTGGGCGGGTGGCTTTCATACCAGTGCCCAACATGTACACCGCGCCGCCGACAGCGCACGCGCGGCAGCCGACCTGTGCAATCTCTGACAAGCCGCCCCATTTCGGGTACACTGCCGCGAAGCCCGGTCCAAATGCCCCCATAGATGAGAGATGGCGGTGGATGGCTGCCAAGCCGGCGCGCGTGGATATCGTGCCGTCGAGGGAAAGCGTGAGTGTGACGATGTACGTCTGCAACGCCGCATCGAGCTTGAAATCCGTCGCAAGGAACTCCGCCAGAGGCTTGTCGGCGTGGGGAGTCCAGGTCGGGCGGTTATCCTCCGAGTCGTAGTCAAAGACGAACTTCAGGAACTTCATCAGCGACCGCTTCGCCCTGGCCGGAATCGCGGTCGTGGAGAAGACGGCTTCGCGGGTGGAGGGGATCGGCACGATCGCTGCGGCGCCGCCATCATCGGCAGACGGGGTGTAGATGAAGAAGGATCCCACCGCGAGGAACTCAATCTGCCGGTACGCGCGGGAATCGACGAGCTGGGTGACGAGCGCCGAGCGCGTGTGTACGATCTGCGGCGCAAGAGCTAGAGAGTAGGCTCGCGGAGAGGAGACGCCCTGCTCCGCCTTTGTAATCGTGGCGGAGGAGAAAACGCCAGAGCTGGACGCGTTGGCGGCAGCCCAGTCTTCCATCTCCTGGAGGGAGAAGGCGGCTTCGGGACCGCCATAGTACTCGTTGGGATCGAGGTGCAGGATTTGTTTTCCTGAGCGGGAGAGGGCTCTTTACGGCCGGAGAGGGCTGCGTCAGTCAGATCGAGGCTTTTGGAAGCAACAACGACGACATTTTCGCGGGCGTGGAAAAAGAGAATGCTGAGGAAGAAAGAGAAGCTTACAAGGCTAGCAGCGACTGCTGCAGGCCAGTACCGTGGATGATGACATCCCACGTGTTCTCGGCCAGCGATTCCATGTCGAACTGGAGGGTAACCGAGTCGAGGAGGGAAGAGAGAGAAAGCAGGAGAAAAGTTTGCGAAGAGAGGTGAGGTTGGAAAAAGAGGAAGCTTTGACGATGGGGGCCCTTAGTGGGGAAACGGAGGCTCTGGGTGCGGTGTTACGTAAGGCACTGTCTGCTCGCACGGTAGAGCCGCCCACTCTAAAAATTTCTAGCGCGTCGCTGGGCTTTGCGGATTTTCTTCTCTTCTTCAACCATCCGCCCGGTAAACCAGCCGCGAGTCACCAACAGTAGATTCGCAGCGTATGAGGGCCTTTCATTAGGCTTCCTCGGCGCCGGGCGGTAGAGAGATATCTTCCCTAGTATCTACTGCCTTGGAATAACGTCTGAAAAGGTGGCTCGAATTGTGGAATACATATTTTCACCGTAGACGTGAGCTGTGATTGACTGTCCTGCCTTGTGGACAAGATCTTGAGCGAATTTCATTTGCCTAGCTGATGCGTCTGCCTGGTGCTAGTTGACTGCCGTTTGCTCTGATGGATATTGCCCTGCCGGAATATCCTGCATCAAACGGCTATTCCTATTCCTTATGCCAAGCCTGACTGTTTCCCCCTACGTCCTCAGCCCGTCTGGACGATGCGAAAGACAAGTCCCCCCAAAGAACTCCTTCCCAGGGTATGCTCATATCTCATAAAGTCGTGTTGCGAAGTAGAAAAGGAAATCAGGCGGAGCTGGAGCCCGAGTCGTCACCGGCCTTCATGGCGACGTGGTTGACAACCGTGCAGCCATTGCTGAGCTTGCCCTTCTCCTCGCTACAGCAGGACATCACCCACATCAAGTTGACGTTGTCCTTGATGTCGTCGCTGGCCTTACTGGCATGGTGAAAGCCGATCTTATCCTCTGTCTCTACCTCTATAAGCCATTCGCCTGTTGCAGATTATTGTTAGCATAACTATAAGCTCAAGGTGATTAGCAGACGTACCAGGATGATGAGATCCGCATCTCTTGTCCTCGTCGTTCTCGTCGTAGACCTTGCGGCACTGCTTGCAGACGCGGAGGGCACGCTCAGGCTGCGAAAGGACGTCGCCGAGCATGTGGTGGACCGAAATGCCGGAGTCGTGCGAAGCCTCCGACGAGGCGCGGACGGTGTTACGCGTAGCGCGGCGCGAACTGAAGACCTTGGGGATGTGAAGATGGTCCGCGAGCTTGGTGACTAGCTCACGGGTCTTTGCATCCGCATCGACAACCGTCTGGAGGATCTGAAGGAGATTATCCTTGTCGCCGGCAACGAGGCGCTTAGAGATATCGATGTCGGACATGATCGTCGAATTGCGGGTGTTTGAGTGGTTTGGTTTCGTTGAAGAATGGCAGAACCCTTCGATTCTGCGAAAGATGTTTTGGTTTTGTTTCTTCCAGGAGCTAGGAAGAAATCTTTTGGAAAGAAGTAAACAAGACGTGTTAAGGCGGGTGCATGTAGCTATGCAGCTTCCTTCTCATGACAGCCGCATCGGGTGGGTGCGGCTGGTGATGGGGATTGTCGACTCATCAAAGCTCATGACAGGAAACATGCGCGCGTTTGCCTGTGATGAAGCAAAAAAAAACAAGAAAGAGGGGATACATAGTACAATGGAGGGGAGACAAACATTGCTTTCCCCAGAACTTTTGATTTTGTTTCCTTTACCGGGTATCATTATCTTCATGGCATGGCGTTCCTGACCTCCTCCCATCTCTGCTCCGCAACACCGACAAACTCCCGAATCAGCTGCGGCTGCAGCGCCGTGCCGCCGTGCTTTGATATCGCCAGAATCTTGGTCTCCTCCCCGCTGCGATCAACTACCGCCGTAACCTCCTCGTCACAGAGTCCCTCCTCCAATGTGTCCGGGTCCACCAGAGTCCAGAACTTGCCGTCTGCCGGCTTGTCAGTCGTCTCCTTGCCAGTGAAGACACCCGCCGTGCAAGCAACGGGGAAGCCATTGATGGCAAGGGGCTTGGGATTGTCGCGGGAGCAGATGACTAGCTCACGGTCTGGGTCCCAGCGAGCGATCGGAATGGTCGTGTCGCGCAAGGCAGCGAGGACGGAGGCCCAGGCAGCGTCGAACGGGTTGCCGTCGAGGGAGATGAGGAAGATGTCGATGTAAAGAACCCAATACGCAATAACCACCTTCTCGCCCTCCTCCTTGTCTCCGCCATCCTCCTCCATCTTGTCCTCGTCATCGTCTTCGGCAGCGTTCTCGGAGGGGCGGGTGTACCATATCCTCAGATCCTCGGCGTCGAGAAGCTTGGAGGAGTGCAAGAGGGAGTAGACTCGGGTGCTGAGGGTCTGGGCGAGGGTGGTTGGAGGGACACCGGGGAGGAACTGAGGCGCGCAGCCGGTGGCGAGCTCGATATTCGGGACGAGCAAGTCGTAGTCCTTCAGCTCTGCAGCGCCGTCCGTCTCGGTTGTGGTAAGAGCATTGTGACGACGGAAGTTGGGAATGTCGGAGGAGAGAATGGTCTCGGCGCGGACACCACAGATGACGGTTGTGTCGCCAGTACGAACAACGGCACTGCCATTGGCGTGGGTGAGGGAAGAGGTGTTGATATTTGGGATTCGGGCCTCATCGGGACGGCGGCCGTTGCTGCGGGTTGAATTGGCAGGCGCGGGCGGTTGGAGGTTTGCGAGGAGGAACGGGTGAGGGGAGAGCTTTGCGAACGTATCGCGGGGAAGGCCTTTTGAAGTGGCCATTTTCACGGGTGATCTGGTCGAGGCGGCGACGAGGAGGATCCGCAAATTAGGGACTCCAGGATCGAGAGATGCTGCTGTTCGAGGTGGGATGGAGGAAGGCAAGAGCTGGAAATTTTAGGTGGAGTCGGAGGGTCGGCATGCGTGCCCCCGGTATGGTGGGGCAGCGCCCGGGCGGCACCAACGCAGTATGGAAGGTAGGAAAGCACTTCACTTCATCTGTCCATGCCACTCCCGCTTTTCATCCTTTCCGCCCTTGGGACTCGGTGTGTTTTGGTCTGGTAATGAATCCTATCAGATTAGACAGATTAAGATCAGATACCATGCGCTGACTCTCTTGATTCGTCCGCAGGCCATCCGAGTTTCCTCGGTTGAGTATCTGGTGCTGAATTTGAAATGTTGAGCTTCTCTCATAGCACCTATTGGCCACCCTTGGGTCTCTCGAAGATAACACTAAATGTCGTATACTTGAGGCAAAATCTTTCCTGTACGATAGTTTTCAATGGTGAAATGTTGTTGCCTTCTTTGTTTCAATTTTTTGTCGTCGTTTTTACATGTACTATCGTCATCTCCGCATCGTTCTCGATTTCAGACTAGCCTCAAGAATTCATTTAATGCGTAAGTAGCACTCCAGGGGCCAGCAAAGTCGGCAATCTCCTTTCAGAGTGCAACAGTAAGGTAAGTGGGTATTGCCGCATACGGGCTGCAGCAGCTAGTGTTACTGTAGTGTCTGCGTGGTCCTTTTGGTTACGCAGCTTAATTGGGTGTGCTCGTAGCCTGGCCACCGTGAAACTCCATAATGGCCGACGCGTGCTTAACCCGTCTACCATCTCCCTAAAACACCAGCTTGGCCTTGACGCTTCAGTTCCTCAACCTGTCCGCGGATCATGTCAGGCAAAATGTCTTTCAAGAAGTTCTTACGCAAGTTAGGATGGTGTAGGCCTAACAACAATTCAACGTCCCAAAGTCCGGCTGACGTCGATCCATGCCCACCGCAACCCAATGGTCCAGCCATTGAATCGGCGAGCGGGAGGGTTGAACCCAGCGCCCAAATTGAGTCGCCTGTGACGATATCTCTTGCTTACGAGCCGCCACAGTCGCGTCTGCAAGAGGCCGAAACACAGGAGACAATGCCTACCCGCAGAGGCAGAGAACCGCCCATACAGGAGCTCTGGAACTTAGCGTACGAGAAGTTGCGAAATGAAGATGAAGAGCTCGTCCAGGATTTCGAAAACAGCATGACGGGCGACTTGAATGCTGCCCTCGGTATGACTGTGGGCTCCCAAATTGATAGGAAAGACTGGATGGGCACGGTCTTGAAGTGCAAGATGGAGCAAGTGAACCGGGATTCATGGAAACTGAAGTTCGGAAGCGCAGAGCTACCAGTACAGGAAGTGGTGAAACCGATCCTAGGAGTTGTGGGCTGGGCCAACGACTTCATTTCCAAGGCTGTGAGCGCAAATCCTACTGCCTCAATCGCGTGGGGCGGCGTAAGTTTGCTGCTTCCGGTAGGTCTGCTCATTTGAAACAAATATGTCGGATTGAAATGGCTAACTTTTCATATAGCTCTTCTTGAATCCTTCTGAACAGGCCGCTTCTCTGGCAAAAGGACTAGAGTACATTTCATCCTTGATTGTCCAGAGTTACCTGTGGGAGAACCTTTATGAGCGTCACTACAAGTCTGGGGCGGGCAAGTCGTCTGAGATTTCAAGTACCATATACAGAAACGCATTGGAAATGCTATATCAGCATGTCCTCAGGTTCCAGATCACGAGTTATCGCTATTACTCCCGCCACTACGCCTACCGTCTAGGGCTAGACTCGGTCAAGTGGAACGAGTGGGATAGTCTTTTTGAAAAAGTCAAAGAGCAGGAGAGAGTCTTTGCCGATGTTCTCAAGGCTTGTCGAGACGATAGATACCTCGAGGAATGTTTGGCAGCAGAGCAGAGACACAAGCAGGTCATGGACTGTTGGCAGAGTATCGGCACCGATGTCTCGGGACTTTTGAAAGCAGTTCATGACGCTCGAAAGGAGGATAAACGCAAGAATGTGCTTGACTGGCTGTGGGCAGCCAATATTTCGGTGCAGTATACCGCTGCTCGCAGCAAACACAGTGAGGGAACCTGTGAATGGCTGGTTCGGAGAAGCAAAGATTTCAGGATGTGGGAAAAAGAACCCAAATCCTTTTTGTGGCTGAATGGAAAAGGTATGATATAAACTAATCTTCTGATGCGTTTTATCCGCTAACGGCATATAGCTGGCTCTGGCAAGTCAATTCTGAGCTCGTCCGTCATCAAGCACTTGAAGGACGAGTACGAAGACGACCCACAGACCGCGCTTGCCTATCACTTCTTCAGTTTTGGGACTCTAGACCAACAAAAGGTGACCGCCATGCTCTCATCGCTTGTTAGGCAGCTGTGCGCGAGTCGTCCGGATACCCCACGGCCGATCAAACGCTTCGAGAATTATATGGCCAGAGGCGAGCGGCCAGACGTAACGACCCTCGAAAATGCTCTCATAGCTGCTGTTCATGGATTTTCCGCAGTATTCATTGTTGTGGACGCTCTCGATGAGTGCCCGACTCTTCAAGGCGAGCGACCGAAGCTTCTGGCTTGCCTCAGGCGCATCATTGCGACGATGCCGGATAATCTTCATATATTTTGCACAAGCAGAGCTGAGAGAGACATCTATGCAACGATAGACAAGGTCCTGTCTCTTCCAGCAAAAGTCGCCATCGACCTGACACAAAATCGGGTGGGCTTGAATCATGACCTACGTCAGTACACTGAGTCTGTTCTAGCTACTGAAACCTATGACTCGTGGCCTGAAGAATTGAAGATTGACGCAAAAGAGTTGCTATTGGAACAAGCAGATGGAATGTAAGTAAAGGAAGCGATGTGCAAGAGGCCAATATGCCGTGGCTTACAGTTACTTAGGTTCCAATACCTCGTTTGCCAATTCGAAGTTCTCCAACAATGCGTCCACTCTGAAGAGGAGATCCGTTCAGCCCTGAATAATCTTCCTAAAGGACTTGATGAGACATACGAAAGGCTACTACTAGGCGTTGGCCATGGTGTCCAGCCCCAGGTCCTGGGCTCGCTCAAATGGCTGGCGCTCGCGAATAGGGATCTCACCCTCGATGAACTGGCCGAAATATTTGTCTTCCACCCTAAGTGCGCCGCCGAGTTTACCAACTATCAGCGGCTTTTCAAGCCGGAAGACGTTTTGCAATACTTCCAAAGCCTTGTGACCATCCAAAAAGAATGGAGAGTGGAACCTCACATTCCCGGAAGAAAATCGATCATACACGTTCGATTGGCTCATTTCACAGTGAAGGACTACTTGATATCCAGCCGAATTAGATGCAGTGAGGCAAGTAGCTTCTATTTTACCGAATTAGATGCTCACTTGTACATCGCACATTGCTGCATGTATTACCACCTGCACAGAAGTGCTGGGGACACGGGAGACAGCCAAAAACTTCCTTTGAAAAGCTACGCCGCCTGCAACTGGGAGTGGCATTTGGACATGGTCCCACGCAAACGGTGGACGCCTGATGTTGTGCGTCTCGCTGAACTTGTCCTCTCTACACGCAGTAGGAGTCTCAATATTAGCGTGCGCCACGGGCGGCTGCGAACAAACGGGCGTGGCATCTGCCAAGTGCGACAGGATAATATGTGGCGGCGCCCATATTGCTACACTGCAGCGATTGGCTCTGTTGAGCTTACCAAACTGCTGCTTCGGAGAGATCCAGGACCAAACTCGTTCTTGGTTCAGGAAGATCTGGACTCGGCCCTCCTTGAGGCCGCGCGGGAAGGAAATGCCGATGTCGTCGAGTTTCTTCTGAACGAGGGCGCCGACGCCAACGCACAAATCGAACCACCAATCTTAGACCCATCAGGCGAGGCGCAATTCATAAACAATCTTACTTGTGACCTGCAGATGGACTCTTACACAGTAGGTGGCGCGCTACACGCGGCGGCGTTTAACGGCGACCTGAAGATCCTACAACTGCTTCTGGACAGCGGCGCGGATGTCAACACACGATATAACACCATAGGATCAGTTTTGGAGGCCGCCGCGTCCCAAGATAGTTCAGCGGTCTTGAAATTCCTGTTGAGTCGCCGGGTTGACGTACGCATTGCAGGTTGTCCTGTGTTACGTTTAATCCCGTCACATGTGACTTGGAAATACCACGCTTTTCTCGACCCTAAAGAAATTAAGGAAGCTTTGAAATGCCTCCAGCTTCTTTTAGACAATGGGGTTGATATCAACCAGAAGTGTATCATCCACGGAACCGCATTGATCCACGCCGCTTATAATTTTCGTTCTTTCAAATCGCCGGAAATTTTCGACTTCTTACTGCAAAATGGTGCTGATGTCAACTTGGGAAGCGAGTCTTTTGGCTACCCCCTTCAGGCGGCATGCCTAGTCAAGCCTAGAGCAAGCAGGAAGATGAAAGAAATTAAGGCTGCGGTTATGAGACTGCTAGACATGGGCGCCGACGTCAATGCTCAGGGTGGGAAGTACGGAAATGCCCTACAGGCTGCGTGCCATGCTGAGAACAGTGATATGATTCGTCTCTTGCTTGACAGAGGTGCCGAGATAAACAGGCAAGGGGGCTTCTTTGGAACAGCATTTCAAGCAGCCTGTGCAACTAATGCCTCCGCCATTGTGAATGTACTGCTGGATAACGGCGCCGATGTTGATTTTCAAGGAGGAGAGTATGGTAATGCTTTACAGGCTGCATGCTACGGCAACGGAGACACGCCAGATGACGTCCAAAGACAGACACAGCGATTAGAGATTGTACGCAAGCTACTTGAAAAGGGCGTCGACGTGAACGCCACTGGTGGTAAATTTCAGACCGCGCTGCAAGGCGCTGCCGCGTCGAAGTACGATGATGGAAACCTTGAAGAGTTCCTGCTAAGCAAGGGCGCCGATGTGAACGAGCAGGGAGGGGAATATGGCACAGCTCTTCAAAGCGCCTGTGTTACTAATAGCATCAGAAAGGTACGCGTGCTTCTCGACCATGGAGCCGCGGTGAACATCGAAGGGGGCAAATATGGAACCGCGCTCCAGGCGGCCTGCGCAAGGAACAACTCCAGGTATCGCTCCTCAGAACCCGAGACGGATAATGATAGCATCCCGGGCCTCCTGATTGGGCACGGCGCCGATGTCCATGCTCAAGGCGGTGCTTTCGGGAGCGCATGGCACGCTGCGGCTTCACGGAACGGGCCGAATAACGAAACATTGAAATTGCTGCTGGATAACGGCATCGATGTGAACGACAACAGAGGCCTGCAATGTGGCACTGCTCTGCAAGCAGCTTTCCAGCTAGACGCAAGTCCCTCTGCCATAATTTCCAGAGTCAACTTTCTCCTAGAGCATGGTGCCGATGTCAATCAGGGAGCGGGATCACATGGATTCCCGCTGCAATCGGCATGTATGTCGCCCGGTGGCGATGATGGCCTCGTTCGTCTCCTCGAAACCTGTACCGATATCGATGTCAACATGACCGGGGGCCTGCTTGGCACTGCTCTACAAGCGGCAGTACATGAAGGCAAGACACATGCCGTGCGGCTGTTGCTCAACAAGGGCGCCGACTGCAACATTCGTGGCGGCAAATGTGGAAGTGCGCTTAACGCAGCCATCGTCAGAGGATACTGGGATCTTGTCGATATACTTATGGATGCCGGGGCCGAGCCGGACTGCCATCAGCTTCTCAAACCTGATGAAGAATGGATCAAGCGGGTACGAGAAGAATACGGAAGCGGTGCTGTGGAACGTTACAAAACGTTCTGGGAGGAGAAGATGAAGTTGAAAGAGCGCAAGGCATGAAAAGCAAAGAATGATTAGGATTGTTTGTCGATGACTAGGGTGGCTTCTGTGGTCGGTTGGGCACACTGATGAGATATCTTAGCTGTTCAGAATTTTACGTAGCCAGTTCAAATTGAAATAACCCACTGGCCTACCAAAGCCCCGACTTGACACTGGGAGTCGCATAATGATCATGATAACGGCCCCTGATGCAGAACCAGTATCTGTAGGATGGCCACTGTTAGTGGCACACTAGTTCTAGGAATATTGATGTCCTGCACTAGGTCCCAGAATCGGCATCCTCCGGAAGAACCCCTTTGGTAACGGAGCTTTACCTTTCCAAGTAGTCATACTACAATGTGACAACAATTAGAATCCATCGAAGTCCTCTGCTGTATACCTAATAAGAAAGCTTCTTCTTGGCTCCCCGCCAAAGAAGAAAAAAGACCTCATCATCACACCTGCCTTCTGCTACAGGCTACAGCTTCATCCGAAATTCGCAAAACGGCAGTTGCTTCGTGAATCGTACTACAATCAGCACATCCTCGCCCCGCTAACGGGCCACATTGACCAGGACCACGAAAGAAAGAGTTTTGTAACATAAAAGCTTCTTCCTCGCACGGATGGCCAGCTAATACGCAGCTATATTCCACCATCACCATGAGCATCTCCGCGAACTTGAAACGAATCTTCGGCCCGGACATTGGAGATGATAACCGCCTCAACACTGCTCATCTCGCAATCGCCACCCGAGGATACCATATCCAGACAGAAATTCTTCACATACCGGAGCGATTCGGCATTTTCTCATCCGGCCCTCCCCGCCTTCAAGCTCATCAAGGTTTCCTGTTCGTAATTCAAATGGTACTTGTGGCTATTTGGGGCGTTCCTGCGGCGTTCGGTCTCCTATTGCTCAAGTACAAGGACCGGGAGTTGCCAATGTCTTCTTTTGTAAAGTATTTCGGATTTATGTTTCTGAGTATGATCGGGATATCATGGATTGGGGCATGTCTCAGTAAGAGAAGAGCACCGGATTATGACTGGCGAGAATGGAAGGTGCATCAGGAATGATGATTGTTTAGGCATTTAGGATCATGCTCCAGGAACTCTGCTTTGGCATTTGATTATTTTCTCATTCATCGTCTCGGTCCCCCTCCTGCCCCCCCACATCACTTTAGCCATTTTCTGCCAGGCCCTCCTCTTCGTCGTTCAGGGTATCCAGGTTTGTTCTGCGGTCCAACAGGAGGCACTGCTAGCTTTTGTCGAGGTCTCTTGCTACCTAAACATCCCAAGCTTGACGCAGAGACGCCTTCTGAAGCAGCTGATGCCTGGACCTCTATCACAGCCGATAACCTTACCCCGTGCATTCATGATGAACGCTCTGAACTACTTTCATGAGGATCTCTTCCACTACACTGCTAATCGAGAATCTCATGATCGTGCTGGTAGGAGGTGGCCTGAAGCCGACAGCAGGTTGAAGTCGCTGACTTGACGCAGTCTTGCGAATCAAGACTTCCAGCAAGTTTTCGTAAGAGCCTTCTAACAGTTCAACAAAATGAATGAGTCCAGAAGCTGATGCATTTAACACAGACCCAAGAGCTTTGAAATTTGGCCGCAGGCAATAAAGATGAAGGCGGGTCGGATGAGGCGGGTCGGATGAGGCGGGTCGGATGAGGCGGGACGGATGAGGCGGGACGGATGAGGCGGGACGGATGAGGCGGGACGGATGAGGCGGGACGGATGACAGCGACGATAACATGAAAAGAGACCATTTACAAGAAGCAAGAATATACAATAATTAGAACAGTTTGCATCTGATAGAAGCATCCAACCGGATAGCAAACCACTTTATTCACCCGATAATACGCGGGCTATAATGACGGAAACCAATCAGTCTGCTGCTGTTGCCGACAGTTAGCACATGAGGCCGCTTCAACAGGCCCTTGACGACCTCGGAGGCCATGCTTCAAGTCATCATACTAGCAATCTCCGCATTTCAAATAACCAGGAAGGTGGTCTTCATTTGGCTGAACCAGGCAATTCCACTTCAGATACATTTAAAAAACAAACCTTCTTTAGTTCCTTGCCTCGCAGCATCGAAAACACCTGCCGCATTGACCACAACACAGCTACACCCGTGACGATCTCAAACTCGCACGTTCAGTCTAAATCCCTTAGCTTTTCGATAAGTATTTAAGGTCGAGTCAAGCAGAGTTGAAGGTAGACAATTCCATTCGATGACTACCTCGAGGAAATCATGATCTGACGGGCGATGTTGACTTTGAGAGATACAGCGGAGACATTCGTAACATCATTATGCCGGAATATACTCTGCTTGAACTTCAGTAGACGGACTAGTTTGCTGCGCCACCGAATACCTGAATAATAACACAACGATAGAGAAGACCAGAAGACTCAGATCAGGATGTAAGCATCCGCCGGAGGTCGCTCTGTCACGTGTCACCACATCTTTCACGCCAAGAGACTATCATAACAGGAGCGTTATGCTAGATCAAAACGTGACATGAGCATTACGTTTTGCGACTAGTAACAATGTTTTAAAACCGCTCGAGATCTATTTATAAGACCCACGTCGCCACACCTTGCCTTCACGAGCAAGGATGGGAATCCGCAGCAGCACCATCACGTTTACCTTTGACACCAACCAAGCTGGTCATAAATACTTGTTATGCCTGTCCTTTAAACTTCTCGCAGGAAATCGAGTCTGCTGAGATGCCCTTGAAAAGAAATCATCTCCATCTGTGTCGTTGTGATCGAAGGATCACTGATGTCCTTATATGCTGCACTGGCCAGCCCTGATAACATCACGACCTCAGCTGAGATGCCAGACTCTTCTGGTGGTTGGTTATTCTCCCAATGATACTGGGGTTACGGCATGAGGGGCGCCGGCGGACACTGACAAACAATTAGCGATGCCCAAAATTTTCCCGCGATCAATTTCGAGACATGCGTTGGGTCACGGAAGGATGAGGAGACTCAGGAACCCAGAAATGACGTGAAGCGTTCCGAAAATTTGCGTTGAACTCATTACAGTGGGCTTATAGAAGCATTATATATATGACAGAAAGCTTCTGAGCCTGCAAATGGGGGCTAGGATGCATCAAAGTCCAATCGTCCTTGTGAATTTGTCAACAACCGTCTCACCTTCGGCCCCCTTCCCCCAAGAGCAGTGTATCTGGCCTCGTAACAGAAGTACTTAGATACGAAAGTGGCAGCTGACAGTCCAGCCAGCAGCAGAAATATTGCGAAACATTGTCCGCCTTCTTACTAAAGTACCGGTACTGGTGCATGACCCGCATGACGATCGACCTCACCTTTCCCTCTCACCATTACATCAATACACGATTCATTCACGTTTCCCAACTATTCAGGTCCTACAAAACATCCGAGAACAGCGAGGCATAGTACCCAACACTCAATCGACATCCCCTGCGAGCCTCACATCTGGTCTCCCTCACTGTCAACGTGAACTCAGAACGGGCCAGTACGCCCCCAGAGCAAAGAAAACCACAGAACATTTTGCTGGAGACAAATGGAGGAATGAATCTTTCTTTGCGCTTATCAGCCAGAATATTTCGCCGCACCTCTGAGTCGAGCTTAAATTCCACAACTCAACACCACCTCCAGTCCAAGAGCCAGGGAAAGCCCACACAAATCACCTATAAAAAGACACCATCAGTCACCTCCTAAAGCCAAACAAGCCAGCCAATGGAACTTAGCAATCTTTGCGCTTGAAGCTCGAGATGCCATATCTTCGTGCCCAACTACCTCAATCCAAACCACCTCCTGGAAAGAGTGCCTCGCCAAGCAAATCCTTACCTGCCTCTCCTGAATCGGCGCTACCCCTCTCTGATCTTAGTGTATCATGTTAGAATATGCATGTGAGTACAAATATAGCAAGCTATCACGTTGACACCGCATCAGACAACGGACAATCATGGTATGTGAACATATAAGCGATGTCGCAGGTTCGGGCGTCACAGGCCAAGAATGAATCGATTCTCGTCGTGAAGAGTCCTCGCCGTTAGGGGGCCACGATACGTATTTATTACCTTTCAGGACGGGCACGACGTCACGTGTGCAAGATACGTGATGACTTTGACAACTCAGATCTTTCCAAGACAGTTTCAACATGTGCAAAGCGTTTTGTTCATCTCATGTATTAAGTGTAAGTGTCATCAGCAGCGGACATGCCGCGATTTGGTAGGTATACATCATGATCCCGTGGTATCGAACGCCAGGTATTTTCCATCCAAGATCGTCATCCATCAGTACAAATACAGAGCCATCATCAAGCCCGGCTCATAGGGCATAGTTCTCAGTATGTAAGTAAATCTCCTCAAGCATATCGTCACCCCAAATCGCCGCCTGTAACCGGGCGACAGTGTTTGCGACACCAACTCTCATGGCCGGTGGCCCACAGACAAAGACTGCTGTCCTTCTGCCGAGGATGCCTCTGCCATCAGCGCCACCCGTCGCCCACTCCTTGAGCATGTAGCCGAGGTCGGGACGTCCATACTCGACGCTCCAGCCACCGTCGATCTGATGCGGAATTGGGAAAGCAAAGCGCATCAGATTCTTTTGGAACTCGGTCGGTGTCTCAGGGAAACCAAAGTCGAAGCCGGACGGCGGGCCGAAGGTGCTAGTGGGTCGGGTTTGGTTTTGGTTGGGAAGGTTCATGGTTCGGAGGTGGGCCAGCTCCGGTGGCCGGATCGGGGCGTCGGTCTCTTCCGGGTTGGGGTCGGGCACCTTCCGCGGTGATGGCGGGGCGTAGTTGAAGTGCGGCTGATCACCCTTCATGCTGACACGAGGGAAATGGAACTCGCCGTCTTCTCTCTTGGCATCTGGATCATGCTCTCCATCGTAATCGCGACCCTCAAGTCTGCGAAGCGACTCTTCTTGTGGAGAGAAGCGGTTTGATGGCGGAGGTCCAGGTGGTGGAGGGGGATATTGGTGAGGCTGGAGGTATTTCTGTTGAGGCAGAGCGGTAATCCTGTCCT